ATTCAGGTCAAATATTTATGTCTTCAATCATCTGTTCTAAAAATGTTCGGCGCATGTCTTAAATTTTAGGTTTTTGCTACAGCAGCGCCATCCTAATTCTTCCCTTTTTTTGACCATATTTTAATGCACGGAGTTGTTTCTCCTTACCTCTACACTCCATAATTCCTCCACTGTTCCTCCATGTCATAAACAGTGTTGCCAGATAGCTCTGACAGAAATTCCCCAGTCGGATGTCTGAAATTCCCCAGAATTCCCCAGATTACCCCATTTTGAAAGAACCAAGAAAGAACACTATTATGATCAGTTATGATTTCATAAAACGGTGTTCAACTAGAAATTTTTGAGATTTTTAGGTATTTAATAGTATGTGTTTGATTAATAAAAATACATAAATTTTAATAAATTTTTATTTTAAGTTCATTATAACAAAGATGTTTTTATTTATAAAGACATGAGTTCATAAGGTACTCAGAATCTGAATCCATTATTTCGAACTGCACCTGGTACAAAATTTACAAACACCAAAGCGAATAAACAGAATATTATTATGATTCTGTGACACGTTTAAACACAGAGCCAATAGAAAAGATATTAACATAGAACGAGAACTTTGGTGTTTCCCCGAATTTATTAAGTAAGAAACCAGTGCAGTGGTGGGATATCTTTATTTATAGTATACAAAATATATTTAGAATATAGATATATGTAGCATTATATTATATCATGTTGATTGCCGTGATCGCGAACTCCTTGCCGACACACCATCTAACTGGCAATCGAAAATCGAACATAATTTTCATCAACGAATCGGGCGTCTGGTCGTTGTGCCTATCGTGTATCGTGCAAGCACAAGCCCTACGGTCGTGAACTACGACACTGGATTACATTTTTGTTACTAAAATACTAATTAAATTGTCTTTTTTACGTAAATCATCATCCTTTTCTTGAATTATATACAACAATTTATTTTTTCAGCATCCTTTTGCCTTTAGAATATCTCGCCGACAACAGACCGACAATAGAGAACAACGGCATACGGTCGAGTCGGCCTACAAACACGTAAACGTTTACGTACGCATGCGCATTTCTTATATTTTTTATTTTTTATACACGTAAAAGCAAATACGTTTTAATAAAATATACGGAGAGTACCGCTTAAATTCCTGTCCCGATGTTGAAGGATGGCTATAGAATGTCAATGCATTTCCTACATAAGTCTATCCTTGTTCGGGAGGAGGTTTTCTGCGCTTGCTCGATCTGTAAGCACTTTGATTGGACAGTTCCAAATCATATGATATGTTTTGTTTTGGTTTTATTTATTTTAAGTTGAGGTTAAAGACGTTCTAATAATTGAATTAAATCTTTCGAAAAATTGGAAGTTTTTTGTTAAATATTCTGAAATCAAATAAGTTTGATAATGTAACATTATGCGCATATTTATCAATTGAGATATTTTAATCGTATCCAACATGTTATGGCAAAACACTTTTTCAACCAAAAGTTTTCAGATATCTTCGATTTAGTTATTTTCGAATGTTTATTTTGTTTATATCTATTACAAACTCAAGGAGCAACAGTTTTTTACAAGTAGTGTTAATTTTGATGCTGGTGCAATACTTCTACTCGTTAAAATAAGTTTATTATAAATATTACAGACATTTAAAAAAATAGGCTATGGAATAGGTATATAAAAATTATTTTATATCTGTCTCACAATGGGGGGCTCCTAGTAGCGTAATAGGTATCTGCAGTGCGATTCTGTAAACATTTCCCTGTCTAGTGACTCATCAATCGTATACAAATAGCATAGGCTCGATAGGAAATTTCTTGCTACAGAGCTTACAGAATCCCATTGCTGATTTCTAAAATTCTTTTTCTAGATAGGCTTCCCGCATCGAAAAACTCCTATTTTATGGTATGTAATTAGTATTCTGAAGGTATTAAAATATTTTAATATCAATATAGTTTTTTCACTGAAACTCGAGTTAAATCTTAATATACATTATTCATATTGTCGTTTTAGAGATTGTGCTTTTATACTTACTATTATGAAAATTTACTGAATAAAATATATAGTTGCAATCCTTTTACTGAACTCCTTAATTTCTTGTTTTATGAGGGGATAATTTTTGCTTATTTAGGTACTAATTTTAATCAGACCATTTTTTAATGAACTCATTTATATTTATATCATATCGTTCTAAGTAGACTTTGTTGTGTTAGACAATTATTATTAAATAAAACGAATGAAAAAAAGTGACAGGTACGATATTTTTTTTTTAAATTCAAAAAATAATTTAGTAAAACCACAATTATTAAGAAATTGTCTTAAAAACTTCGTAGTACAAATTGCATATCTATTTCACTTTTTTTAAAATTCAAAAAATAATTTAGTAAAACCTCAATTAAGGAACTGTCTTAAGAACTTAGTATTACAAATTGCATATCTATTTCACTCGACTTAAAAATTGCAGCAAAACAAAGTATAACAGTACATTTTTTACTGTCTATTGTTTCTTTTACTGCCCATGTATTTATGATCAATAATCACATCAGTCCTGGTTTAAAATGAAACAAAAGTAATTCTTTATTATTAACATATTTTTTATTAAACAAATATAACTAAAAGTATGTACATATTAAGTTTATACATAAATCAAGCTAGATACAAAAAATATAATTATTTACATTGTTGCATTGTAAATACTCTTTTATATTATGAAAAAAAAACAATAATAATTTACAATAAGACAGTTTGTGTGTAACCGTGTAAGCATTATAATTAGCCTTATGTAGTCTCTATTTTTAGTCTTTACATTATAATGTCTTTTTTTATTTTAAAATAGTAAGACTAAATATAATGCTTTTAACAATTATTGATTTTTGAATAAAATTAGTTTAATATATTTTTGTCTTATATTAACATCCCTTTTATTTCTGATTTTGCTTTCATGATACAAACGAACATCGAGAAAAATTTCTATTATTCATTTTGTTAGTTGGCTTCTACCACACAAAAAGCAGTAGCCAATTCCCATTGTTCTATTAATTAAACTACAGCAAAAGTCTTTAAAACTAAATCACAAAATTGTCAATAAACGCACAAAGATTAAAATACAAACGAAAACACAGTACACGTGGAAAACAGAAAGTTAGAGAAAACTCTAATGGCGACTGCCCAAGTCCAAACTGAAAACAAAATCCACGCTTACTTATGTCAAACTCGATCTTCTGTCCTTCAATACTGGGACATAAATTCTCTCATTGCTCTTATGGGGAGGCCGCAGTATATTTTAATTAAAACGTATTTGCGTAAAAGATTCTTTACGTCTACGTCACAGAACACACTAAAGAAGAACGCTAACTCCCATGCATTTTTTAGTTTCAAAATGGTTTCAAATTTGTAAAGAAATCTGTAATCTGTATATTGAAGTGGCGCCATCTAGCCACCCAGAAAAGTAACAAATGTGGCGGCAAATTTAAATAGATGCAATTTATTTTTAAGCAAGACGTATTGACTTGTTCGCCAGTTAGAGCCAATCAGATTTCTACAAAATAATGTGTAGTCATCTGATTGGTCCCAAGTAGGCAAACAAGTCAAATGGTAAAAAACAAGGATTTATACCGTATGATCGAGAAAAAACGACGTCGACGATGGCTATGAAATGAAGATCGCTGTCATTTTATATGTAAATTTATATGGGAAATGTCATTGATCGTCATTTCCCAGCCAACTGGACGCCGTTTTTTTTCGATCATACGGTATATAAAGGTTAAACCAGGTTAAACTATTGTAAAGTGTTAAATGGTTTGCTTATATCATTTTATGTGCATAAAAACCTACAATAAATAATTTATTTTAATTTACAGAAAATTATACCATGAAACATTTTACAAACAAATAAAACAACAGATTAAAAAGTATAATATTTATTATAATAACTACCAGATTTAAGAACACATAACAAATATCGTTGGAATACAAGAGAAAGTGACGTCCATTAGAAACAATGTTTTATTTTTTACATATGGACTTGAACAATTGTGTAATATCACATTGTGGAGTTTATGTACAAAAATATGGAGTTGATTAATTTTTTTTTGTAAAAATATATGGCGTTGTAAATATTACATTGTTAAAAAATAAAATTCACGGACATTTGGACTTGGTTAGGTTACCTCACTTTCTCGGATAATTAAATAAAATTGTTAGATAAATCAAAGACCTTTAACTTAAACCTTACCTTTAATAAAGATCTTAAAAATCAAACACAAAACAAAGTTCAAAAAAATTCAAAAATACAACATCACGATTGTAAAATGAAGATTGCAAAAAACACAGCCAAACAACCAAAAAACAGCGAAACGCACATCTCCGTTCAATTGCAAAACACAACTGAAGAGGAAGGAGGAAGCCGGAAACATTCTATGCCGGAAACGGAAAACTGATTTGACATACAGAACATAATTAATAGGTCTATTTAGGCAACTATAAAAACAATTTTGTACGCAATTGTTAGGCAACTAGAAAAATTAAAATAAAAATACGCCATCTAGCGCCCCAGGAAATTACTACCCCAAAAACAGATCGTTCAAGGTCGTATATCTCAGTTGACTGGCCCTGGTCTACGTATACGTGCCAGCAGCGGCCGACTCGACGGTATGCCGTTGTTCCACAGCGTTGTTCTCTAAGGGTGCAGCCACACTATCCTAAAAACGGCGTATCGGCGTAACGGCGTAATGACCTTGAATAGATTTCCAGTAATTCTATTGGCTGAAATTTTTGACAGATGAATTTGACAGATAAAATTTCTGACAGATGAATGTTTCAGCCAATAGAATTACTGGAAATCTATTCAAGGTCATTACGCCGTTACGCCGATACGCCGTTTTTAGGATAGTGTGGATGCACCCTAACGAAGATGATATTTTAACGCAAAATTGAAAAATAAGTTAAAATTCCCCAGATTTCGCCCGAAATTCTCTGTTTCCTTTTGTTACCGTCAAAATTCCCCAGATCTGGGGAAAAATTCCCTAGTATGGCAACACTGGTCATAAACTCCATGTCTAACCTCTTTCTAACCTAACCACATTTTTTTTTTCAATCAAAATAAACATTGCAGGAAACATCACAGAAGAGGAGAACATTTGTCAGCGTTCAGCACATAGACAAGAGATATACTCAAAGATATACTAACTGGTCCAGCATTTGTTGTGGAAAATTTGAGATTATCTGTGGTGCAAAAGCTGTATTTGAGGTAAAAATTCAGATTAAAAACGTTATAACGAAAATAAATTTGATATATTTTGTTGTAGTGAGCACAATGGGTGACAGATACAACATTCACAGTCAGTTGGAGCATTTGCAGTCGAAATATATTGGAACAGGTCATGCTGATACTACAAAATTTGAATGGCTGGTTAATCAACATCGGGATAGTTACTCCAGCTATCTAGGTCATCCAGACTTGCTTAGTTATTTCGCAGTAGCTGAAAATGAAGCAAAGGCTCGAGTGATGTTTAATTTGATGGAAAAAATGTTACAGCCTTGTGGTCCACCCCCAGACAAACCAGATGATAGTTAAATTTTCATAACTTCATAAATATGTACAGGATCTAGGTGCAGTATTATTACTCTGATCATATTTTTAATCAAAACCTAATTTTTATGTGTATTTATGAATAGGACTTATAACAGGGTGCTTATCAAAAAGGTACCGCAACTATGTTTAATTTAATAATAATAATAACTGATATTGGAGAAGACATTACGCTTATAAAATGTTTTGATCATTTATGTATTGAATTAAAGCTATTTTTATTCTGTGCATGATCTTATAAGGGTGCTTATCAAAAAGTTGCCACAAATAGGGGTTGCCACGGTTCAAAGTTTTTCCTACAGGCCCTGCAACAGTGCATCAGGCATCCTGTAGATAATAAAAAACTTAGGAATTTTGTATACCTATGTCAATCTAAAGTATGTATTAGGATGTATTCAGAAAATATATTAACTTCTACAGAGTGGCTCAAAAAAGTACGAGTGGATTGGAATTATTTTTTTAAGATGGAACACCCTTAAATATATTTCGATAGTTTCAAAAATATTAATAAATAAATAAAGTAGTGTCTTCAGCCTTTTTTTAAAAAATTTAGGAATTTATAACAAAACATTTTATAATACCTTAGGATTATGTAAAGTGATAAAAAAGGAAGCCAAAAATGCAATAACATACAGGTGCAATACCATTTTAAAAAAAATCATCCAGATCCTCTCACTTTTTTTTGAACCACCCTGTAGAAGTTAAAATATTTCCCTGAACACATACTTTATGCTGGCACTTAATACAAAATTCCTAAGTTTTTATTACAGGAGCTACAGATGCCCAAAGCTCTGTTGCCGAGCCCGTAGGAAAAACTTTGAACCGTGGCAAATTTTTGATAGGCATCCTTTTATGAGTTGTGTCATCCCCAAAATCAGTTATTATTAACTAAACATAGTCGCGGTAAGTTTTGATGGGCACCCTGTTAAAAGAGTATTCTCCTATTCATAAATATATATAAAAATTAAGTTTTGATTAAAAATACGATGAGCGTAATAATCCCAAGGATACTATAATAATAATATATAATTAATAGTATATTGTTTTATTATGAGTAAAAATTATAATATTTGTGGCGAGGCTGTACGTAGGACATGCTATTTTTTTTTCAAACGCCACAATTTTTAAATATTTAACAATTTCAAATATTCCAAATAATATAAAAATATTTAAAAGTAATACCTTGTAAGTAGTGATGGGGAAAACCGATTAATTTCAATAATCGAGTTTACGAGATACGCAACGGATAACGTTGTATACATTTGCTACCTGCAATGTCTATAGCAAAATTCGCTTGTTTCACATCAGTATGTCACATTAAAAGTTAAAATGGGAATTCAATTTAGGAATTCAAATTTCATTTTAGGATCGCTCGCGTTCGTCGCTCGTAACTTGCATCGGTCGTTCATAATCGAGTGATGTCGGTTATTTCAATAATCGAGTATTCGAGCGAATTTTCGCTCGAGTTATTCATAAGTTATTCCATCACTACTTGTAAGTAATTATGTATCTAGAAACTATGCCTTACGCCCGTTCAATTTGACACTTTTACGCCTAGGCGTAAATTAATACTTTATGAAATTTGAAAAAAATGGTATATTGTTTTATTAGGAGTAAAAATGATACTTTTTGTGTTGAGGCTGTATGATTGACGCTTGCGTTTGACGTCCAACGCTTTTTCATAGATAAATGCGCTTCTTCAACGCTTGCGGTGAAGCATTCACGGCGCCGATTTGACGAGATCAAACAGTCCTTTAGAATATAATATAGCCCTTGTAATACTCCTGCAGTTGGATCTTAGACTATTATTATTTAAAAGAAACAACAGAAACCTTTAGAATAGTTTATTAATATAACCTAATAATTCTCAAACTACTTCTTATTCACAGCATTTGAGTATCTATAGAAAATTTAACAATTCGTTTTATGCAAGTAAAACATGTCCAAATAAATATCTCAGTAAATAAAAACCCTGTATGAACACTTTCTATAAACAATTTTGGAGCAAAAACTGACCATATGAAGAGGTGATGTTTAAAAATAATAGTTACAATACAGGTTGAAGTTACTACTAATGTTCTCAGTATTAATAGTGTAATCCAAAAAATGTTTTGTTGTTTGTAGTCAATCTTTTGTAATACTATCAAGTGAAATAATACTGGAAAGATATAGGTGTGCATTAAAATTTGTGAAATTACTAAAATTGGTTCATAGTTGCTCAAACCTGTGTAGCCTATTGATATATCTACAGTAGCAAGGTTGTTTCTGTGGCCTTGAATAAAATAAAAACAATTAGAAAAGATATACATAATTATTGCTAAGAAAGAAATATTATTAACACATGTTACTTTTTGTTTACTATTGTTTGTTCTATTTAAAGAATATATCACTACTTCAGTATGTACTGCAATTGATATAAGTAAAACATTATGAGGTTTCATAAGCAGAGTTGCAGCCAAGATCCATAGTACTGACCATGAGAAATTTTTAAAAATTAGTTTTTGAATTAATATTATAGTCCATATTAATTTTCCTAAGAGTGTGTTATGATATGGAAGTAATTTTAACAAAAATATTAATACTAAAGTAGTCACTGTTAAGAAAATATTCCAGTTACTGGTAAAAGATGATTTAAAATGTGTCATTAAAACTATGAACACAAAAGTCAACCCAGTACCAAAAAATATTTGCAAATATATCAAATTATTCTTGTCATTAAAGTAATGTGCCCAGTTATTGGTGTTTTGTACCGAGTTCTCTACAGTTGAATTCAAATCCATTGAGAATCTTATGGCGAACAGTATTAAAATACCATTAACTGCATAAGAAATATTCATATAATTTTTTATAATTCTAGTAGATACTGTAATAAATAAAATTAATGTCACTGTAAAATAAATAAAAAAGTAATGTTCTTCTTCAATAAAACTAGTTGATATAAATGAAAGTGGATGTAATATCATACAAAATATTAAAATATTATTCAAACTAGATTGGAAAATTGAAAAAGATGTTTCTTGAAATACTGTTTTCAGCCTTATTATAGCAGAGAGTCCTAATAATATTGCAAAAACATATGATATGCTTATTATTTGAATATGATATTGAAATATTGTTGTACTAAAGAGAAAAATGGATTCAAATGCAAAAGATTTAATTTTCTTGGTCATCAAATTATTTAATGACATAAAAAGGACATTGAGCATGAGAAAAACAGAAATAAACAGTGATATCATGTCTTGCTTGCTTGAATTTTCATACAGAAGTTTTGTGATTTCATTAGAACAATTTGTATAAAGATTCAAAGCTTTATTCCCATATTTTTTATCTGCTTCATACAAAAATTGTCTGTAAAAAATATCTGCTTGCTCACAATAAGAAATATTCTTTTCAGTTTTTTTTAATAATAAATCTGTGTTGTATTTTAAAGCAAACAGATACTGATCTAAAGATAAATTATGTAGAAGTGATTTTTGTAAATTTCCTATACTTGTAATTGGGATATTGAGTCCAAGAAGAACTGCCAAGTTTGCAGGTATATCTGTCTGATAAAATGAAGAGTTTTGACATGGTAGTCCTAGAGAAATTAAAGGGACTGTTATTTCAGGTTGACTTGTACCTCCATGACCTGAAAAAAAAAACTTTCAAAAAATACATCTTAAGGAAAGACCCTATATACCTCCACTATCCCTCATTCCATGATCTCCAGTTATAAAAGTAACAATATTCTGATTGATGGAAAGTCTTGTGTGAATTTTATTAATTATTTCGTCCATTTCCTTCAACTTGGTAACCATCTTTGAAGAATATGGGCCTAAGACATGCCCTATATGGTCAAGACCTGTAATGGCCTATCACATATGACAAAAACCTAATTATGTTATAGTAGATCTTTACCTAAATAATGTAATATCATGATGTCCCAATCACTATTGTTTAATTCAAATTCAACATTGCGCGTCACATTATTATCAACTTCCTTGAAGTCCCATACAAAAAAAGATGTGGTACCTTCAGATCGATAGAAGAAATCTGGGAAAAGCTTCTCCCAGGTATTATCACCATAAAAAACAATTTTTAATCTTTTCTTCACGGCGGAATGAAGCCATGAATCGTTCAGTATCTCGGAGGAAGCTAAATTTCGTAAAACATCAATATACTGAGGTATATTTCCTGTTGTTAAAGCTTTAATCCTAGGTAATGTCACTGTGGGGCTCTCAGCAATTATTTTACTAAGACAGCCTTTCTCGCGCATGAGACCAGCCGTTAAAGGCATTAATGAATGGTCTACAAAGTCCCATCTCAAAGCATCGATTATAATCAGTACACTCCTGTTTATATGAGGTGGATAAGTTACGTTTAGATCTACTGACAGCTTGAAGAGATCTTCAGGAGGATCGTTTGGGAAGTTTGTAATGTTATTTGATATGGGAAAAAATCCGAAGACAAATAATACAACTGCACATATTAATAGGGCAGGTAAATAGAACATATTTCAAACATATTTGCAACTTTAAATAAAAAACAAAAAAAATTAGCCAATTTAAGGTTACCTTCGTAACCATTCCCATTCTGCCGGCCGGATAGCCTTGGCAGCTGTGGCCATTGAACTAATACTACTACCACGCTACTACTCTTGTTTCTTGATTGGTTTTACGGCCTAAGCTGCCTGGACTATACGGCCAGTTGATAGTCTTCTATCCTTTGATTTTTCTCCAGTGACAAGAGCTCATAAAAGCGTCCGACTCTTAGATTAACAATAAAGCCGGAGTCTCATGCACCCGAAATCCGATGGTACGACATCCAAAATTTGAAGTTATCCTGTGAAATAAAAAAAGCCTGTCACATACATCCGAAAGTTCGTTCCGAAATTTGACAGTTTTGACATTTAGACCTGTCATTTCCTATCAACAGTATCAACCAGTGCCTTCTATTAAAAGATCAGCCTGCGGGCGAGATTTATGACGTCACGCTTCACGTATGTCTGCTTGCAGTGGTTAAGGAGTAGCTAGATAGGGGACGGATTAATAAATACGAAAGGAGTGTTAGGTAGAATACAATGGAAAACATAATTTATTCCTCAGATTTTTGGGTGGTCTGATCTAGTGTTAAATAATAGGTAGAGTAGGAGGGTTTCGGTCACGTAAATGAAATATACATAATATCAGTCTAATAACTTCAACAATATACCTATTTATAGTAATAACATACTTTTGGCAAATAACTACTAACTAACCGTCAAGACTCGCAGCAATGTTTTACAATGTACAAATTAATGTATAGGTACATAAGATAATGGGTAAAATGTAAATATATTTTAATTTTGGGGGTTTGAAAATCGATTTACTTAAATTTAAACAAAAAACATTTAATATCTACTAATAGTGATTGTTTTATTATGTGCATTCACAAATATATTGTATAATTTGAAGTATCAATATTCGAAAAATTTATTTACAATAATACAATATATCTAAAAAAGGCGTCAGCGATGGCTATGAACATGAAGATCGATCTGGTATTAGGTTGTCTGAACACTAGGTGCTATGACAATTTATTCTAAGGGATCTCTTTCGAACTTTCTCTCTATTACGGGGTGAGATTCGTTTATCGACCGAGATAGATCGCGTTTAGATCTCAAGTTTTCGAATTTGGGTTTTCATCTTAATTTTTATTTCGTTTAAAAAAAAACGTTTCGGCTAAAATTATAGCCTTCATCAGTTGTGTTGTTCTTTCAATGAAGAAAAAAAATAGTGGTGGAATATAATTCAAAAAATTACATATACAATATAATTCTTCAGACGCGCCACCTATTTTGATGTCGTGTCGGTAATTAGATGCAAGAATAGAGAGGCTACATGCACGGCGAACCGACAACTTCGGTGCAAAATCATACACTCTCCTTCTTAAAATTATTCATATCTTAACATACTAAAGAATTTATCAACATTGACTATGGAGTACGCAGTAAACATTATGTGGCGTGGTGTGAATATTTTTATAATGCAATTTTTGGATTATATTCGACACTATTTTTTTCCTATGACACAACACTGATGGAGGCTATAATGTTAGCCAAACGCGTTTTTTTTTAAACCAAATAAAATAATGAAATAACCAAATGAAAAATCAATCAGCCTTTTTCCCGAACCTAAATTCCAGAAATTCAAAAAATTTTAGAATATTTAGAAAATCAAGGTTCAAGATTATCAAATTTTCCCAAGATGTAAAATTCTAGTTAATTATTTTATGGATTGTACAGTTATTTAGGGAATGTCATCCAGGTTCATGGCTTGCGTATCGCACAAGACCAACACGTATGTATTCTGCGCGATTTTTTTCGATATTTGATACGGTATTTATTCTTCACTTAAATACTTGTTATCTCTTTATAAAATGCTCCACGATTTATTATACCAATTAAAACAAAGAAAATATGCACACTTTCTAGTAAATTAGTTTTAGTAACACCTTTATTCTTAAAACTTTAATTTTGTATTAGTGTGCAAATATACCATTTTATTGTTATTTTATTCATATTGTATTCAGCCATCACTTAAATATTTGTATTAATTTGGTATTATAAATGATCAATACTATTCATTAAAATTATCGAACAAATATATGTTATGCTTAACATACATTATATATTATCAAACAAAAACACACTTCTTCTTTTAAAACTGTATCAGTCTTGTTAATTTACAAAATCTTTTTAAAATTTGAAAAGCTCAAAAATAATAATCTTTTTATGATCTCTAATACACATATTTCTTTATTTTTCCTTAGAATTCTCATAATTACTACTTACGTGTTTGAATCTATCGGAGCTGAACCAACAACACTTAGGAGTGGAGATTCCACAATATGATTAAAACTAAACAATTTTTTTTTTTTTTTTATTTTCAAGATTTTAACAAATGTGCTTTAAGAGGAGTTTAAATTTAATTAAAGAATATTTTCAATAAAATTCTCTTGATTTACAACTCGTACCCACTTTTCTGGCTCTTCTTCCGGAAACTTTAGGCTGCCTAGTATAATAACTATCCTTATTAACTATCCTTTCCACCAGGAACACAACAAAGATGAGGCATAGCACCAGAAACACACTCCACTTAAGCTTTATTGATGGATTGTTAGAGTCTTAAAAACACAACACAAAAATCACGGAAAGGTAAAAAAATGTATGGGCACTTTTTGGTTAAATCACTTTGCACAACCCGCGGGGGGGTTGGTAAAAATTTTTTAAAAAATTTCTATTTTTTTTAGCGAAACCGAGAGTGACCATATATTCTGGTAGTAGTTTATGTCACTTCAAAACCAAAATAATTAGTTTTTTGCACTAACATAATAAATAATACCAGAAATCAAAGAAGTTAAAACCAAAAAATCAACGAACCCAAAATATATGAAACGGAATCTAACCCAATATCTAAGTATGTACAGCTGATGAAGTAAACAAAAGTCCGCCCGTAGGCTGATCTTTTAATAGAAGGCACTGTATCAACATTATTACATGTATTATTGGAGAAACACTTTTAAAAATAACTTCCCCGCCAAATATCCCGAAATTGCCCCCTTCCCACTAAGCTTGTTTTTAAAAACCAATGTTTTCAAAAAAAGTGAGGTTAAAAAACACACGATATCGTACAAAAGTTAAACAAAATTTAACTTTATACGACGTCGGACGATTAGTTAAAAATATCCGATAAAAATTGGTGTCAAAATATTTCGACCAATATTTCGACGGAGCACCGTCGGATCGTCGTGTCATCGGATTTCGGATGCATGAGGGTGCAGCCACACTATCCTAAAAACGGCGTATCGGCGTAACGGCGTAATGACCTTGAATAGATTTCCAGTAATTCTATTGGCTGAAACATTCATCTGCATGATACAAAGAATACAAGGTATGATATTGCGCAGGTTGGTCACTACGTCACAGGTGATAAACGACACCATTGGTAGGAGAGCTCCGCGCGCCAATTTCAAATTGTCAAACAGATGACACAATAAATGTGAAAATAATTTTTCAAATGTCAAGCTCTCGATGATTTGACATAACTTTTGGGGGTTATATCCTACTCCTCCCTTCTGTTTTTGGTCTTTTTTTATTAGTGGCAATTGAACAATATGGATATTTTTTTGTATGGCCTATGACGTCACAGGTGGTATGCGCAAACTTAACGAAATTGGAACCGCCATCGATCATACCTTGTTTTCTTTGTACCATGATTCATCTGTCAGAAATTTTATCTGTCAAATTCATCTGTCAAAAATTTCAGGGTGCAGCCACACTATCCTAAAAACGGCGTATCGGCAAAGAGTAGATAAGACAAGAGACGACAGTGAACAAAGAAGTCGAATTTCGCGCGAGAGAAGCAGATATATTAAAATTTAAAGGTCCCATCAAGTCCCATTTTGTCTGTTGCCAAGTATATTTCTTTGAAAAATAAACAAGATTTCTGAAAATAACAATAATATAAAAAAAAAAAAAAAAAAAAAAAAAAAAAAGAAATGTAAATTTTAGTTTAGGTTGGTTTAGGTTTTTTTTCGCAATGTAATGATAATATCAAAGCAGAATGACTAAAGTTGGTCGATTTCAAAGATAAACAGATAAAATCTGAAAATCTGACAACTGCGCATTTTATTTATTCAAACCTAAGATTTTAGGACGCCAATCAGCTGTGCTAATCAGGGCTTAAACATAAACAAATCTGATTAGTTGTTTTCTTGCATTTTTGCTCTTTTTAAAGTGTGTTTTTCAGAGTTTTTCGATATATTATCGTTTTGAGAGTTTTTAAGGTTTAATTTTAGTATCGTTTTTATTGCGTTCTAATTTGTAATTATTGTTAAATATGAATACTGAACAGGACACGAGTAGCAGGAAAAGACGAGATGGTGGCATTGTGTGTGCTTATAAAGACTGCAAAAATAGGTCTTGTTCTTCGACAAACATAATATTTCACTCTTTTCCAAAGGATCCTGAAAAGTATTTTTTATAGAAATATACTATATACTATGTTATTAAACTAAATGTAATCCATAGATCGAAGACATGGTTAGAAGCTTGTAATTGCGAGGATTAAATGAAAATTGAGCAACTCTATTTTTTTGTACATAAACACCACATTGTGATATTACACTTGTTCAAGTCCATATGTAAAAAATACACGTAAATAAACATTTCTTACAAATCGACTTGGTCACTTTCTCTTGTTTACCAACGATATACAAAAATATTGCTTTTATTATCTTTATTCCCCGACAAATATATGTTTCTAATTATAATTTATTTTATATAATATTTAGAAAACTCATTTTTTTTCGTTTCTATTTATCTCTTTACCCACACAGTAACTATTTATAAGCTATACAGGCAAATTTTAATAATAGTCTATTTCAAATTTCCCGCGAAAAAGTTACGAAAATTTAAAGGGACAAGCGAGACGAGGTCACTCTCCCCACCACTCAAACATGAAAGGTACCGCGCGAACTGTCGTCTCTTGTCTTATCTACTCTTTGGTATCGGCGTAACGGCGTAATGACCTTGAATAGATTTCCAGTAATTCTATCGGCTGAAACATTCATCTGTCA